ATAAACTGACTATATATCGGCATTTAACTAGTAAATCCAAAGTACAATTTAACTACTAAATTTAAATTATCAGTTAACTCAATTTCAGACCATTTGAAATTCTAATACATAACAGGGCAAAAAACAACAGAACTTCAGCAGGCAACATAATAAAATTCTATAAAACATATATACACACAGCAATTGATTAACATAGCACCAAAAAACATCAATAACCTACAACAAATACAAAACTCACTACTGCATACAAAGCACCCAGATACACTTCTTCAAACTTTATGCACAATTATGTAAATTTATAAACTATCTCCGATAGACTACTACATAATTCGCTAAATTATTTCGCAAAAAATAGGAAAAAATAACCTTCTGTGTGAATTAGATGACTACTGCATACATGATGGGGATAGCCCTAAGTACCTCTCACCATTTAATAAAGCCACCTAATGCTAGACTAAGAAGTGCACATTAGTTTTAAACTGATACGACAGTATTAAAAGGGTATTTATGTGAATGCTCTCGATTAGTGTAAAATTAATGTATGTGAAAAATACATATAGAACTGTTTGTCATGTGCAGAACTTTGCAACAACGAATAAAGAGAAAATGTATTTATTCACACGAGTATAAATGTAAGTACCTATATGGACATTGCCCTGAAAGAGGTCGGAGTAAGAGCGAGATAGTCTGATCCTCATGTAGTATTTAAATTCGTATTCACCTGAAACAGATACCACCTAACAAAGGGGAGGAAGAGGTAATTTACACCTCACCCTCCCAGATATATAAAGACCTAAACATCGATTAAGAGAAAAAGAAGAAAACCGTAAGAAATAATTGATAAACATATTGGTTGTTTCTACTAATTGTGCAGGGTATCCTAGGTATCATGAACATATTGAAATCCACATTTAAAACACAAACAGAGTTAAATGAGAATGGCCTGAGAAAGTGTAAAGTGGCCTAACTATCTTTCTGTTACATATCTGCTTCTTAGTTAATTTCCCGTAGAAATTCTTTCCAAGAAACTTCAGCGATACAAATCCTTTCTGGATTAAAACTAGTTTATTCTTTCTCGATACAAACTTTGTAATACACAGAATTTCCACAGTCAATACGTTCCTCGTCGACTTTATAAATACACGCTATAATCACAGAGATTCACAAGCTCGATAACTTCGCTCTATGCGACTGCAAAACACAGAAACAGAATCGACTTACCGTGACTCGATTATCTATCTATATCCAGCTGGCTTTTTTTTTGCCAGGCTTATGTACTAAAAAGGGGGGCATCTAGATCACACTCGAACTGTCTAGCAAATTCATGATCATTCGAGAAACTCCAGCACCCATGCTCCCAGCGTTGAGTGACTTCCACTGTCGTAACACTGCCCCTTCCTTAGTATTGTTCATCCTGAACATTAGCCACTTACATTTAACCAATAGATAATTAACAGTAACTTAATCAAATGTACAGAATTTACAAACACAAAATTAAAATATAAGAAAGTCTCTTAATTTTACAGGACGTATCTTCTTCTATACTGGTCTCCATCTCATTGGCTTCTGCTTCACGTGGGGTTCATCTTCTCCATCGGGAAATGTCCCATTATCGGTAACAGTCACATCAGTGGTAGTAACTTCATTAACGGCTTCTCTGTTTTCCTTCTCAAAAACAGGTAGAGTTTTTTCTTTGACAGTGGTTTTTCAAGTGACATGTCTTCAGCAGCATTATTTGTTCCATTGTTCACTTCATTCCAACTGAAATGTCCTGAACCGTGATAATGCCAAAGCCTGTTGGCATGCGCCACCTTTGGCTTAACTCGCTAACCACATTTTATTTGGAAAGTCATATCTGAGAGACGATCCACTATGTCATATGGACTTTCCCATGCAGAAGACAACTTAGGAGACTTCCCTTTAGTCTTCCTGGGATTATACAACCACATCTTGTCTCCTGATACAAAGCTGACTTCAGTAGATCTCTTATCACAACATAGCTTCATGGAATCAGTAGACGTTTTCACGTTTGAACGCACTTGATGGTGAATATCATCCATCCTTTCAGATAAAACTTTCTCAAACTCTGGCACATTTTGAGGCAACTCTTCATAAGGTGGGCGTCCTGTTATCAGGTCCAATAGCAATCAAAGTTCCCGACCAAACATCAGCTTTGCTGGAGTATATCCAGTGGCTTCATGCTCTGCTGTCCTATAGGCCATCAACAGTGGAGGGAGTAAGACATCTCAGTCATCTTGGTGGCTATTACAAAACTTTGCCAAATCCTGTCACAATGTCCAATTGTACTTTTATACCAATCCATCAGACTGTGTGTGAAGTGGTATTGTTCTGGTCTTCCATATGCCAAACAACATGCAGCATTCATGGAACACAGCTGATTCAAAGTTACAGCCTTGATCTGAATGCAGTTCGTATGGCATATCAAACCTGAAGAAAAAATCGAATAAAAGATAAAGTTGTAGCTTCCTGATTTGGTATTGCATATGCCTCAGGCCACTTGGTGAAATAATCCATCACCACACAAATGGCTACTCTTTCCATTGGTGCACCAACTTCATATAACTTCATTGGAGCACGTCTGTTATGTTTGGGTCCCCTTTTAGCACAACATGTACTGTAGGTCCTGCACCATTCTTCCACATTTTGCCTCTTACCTATCCAGTAAAATCTCTGTTGTAAGTGACTCAATGTCTTCTTAACTCCAAGATGTCCTCCTGTTAAACTATCATGGGATTGACGCAGCACAACTTCTCGTAACTTTCTTGGTATAACTGTTTCCCAGGTCGTCACTTTCCCACCTGCAGTTCCCATCTCCGAAGAAGAATACCATCTTCAAGCTTCAACTGGTCCAATTGTGTCCAATAGTTCTTTGTCACAGGGCTTAGGCTAGACACTTTCTCCCAAGCAGGGTGCAAAACACTTGCTTGTAGAAAATCAATTATTGGCTTGAAGCTTGGTCTTTCTCCTGTTCTGCTTTAATATCTATACCTGGTTCCACTTCACTATCATCAACTCCTTCAGTCACTTTGACTTCAGCTTGATGGCACCTGGCTAGTTCAATTTGTCTTTTAACACTTACTGGAATTTGGCCTTTGTTGTTCCCAAACGTCATTTTATCAAAGTTAACTACACACTTCCTTGGTAGTAAGTAGTCCAAACCTAATATGCATTGGTCTTCAATGTTAGCCAAGTATATTTTGTGTTTGTCCTTCATGCCCATGAGCTCAATAGTTACCCACACTGGTCCCCACAATCTTGCATAATGTCCTGTCACACCCCAGAGCTTCTGTGTGGCTTCAGTTACTCCTTTGTGATCTAGCACCTTGATACTC